AAGGATTCAATCCGCGATAAATTGACTCCGATTCAAATCACAGCGAATTATTCATATGAGGAACGTTCAAGTGGTATCTCGCTCTCTGGCAATTTAGAACCAGCCATTGATAATACAGTTCCACTGACATTTGTTCATGAGGTAAGCAATTGATTGAATTCGAATTTATTAATTGCGTTCATGCAAATGAGATATATGACTTATTTGCAGTTGTCGATCGACAAGAACTGCGGTGCTGATAACGAGTGCATACCAGATCTTCAGTTGCATGCAATATCGTTCGTTCTTTTCTTTATTCATTTCACTGCTTCTTACATACTATAACTTAAATTTTTTTCAGAAACAGGGAAAAATTCACGATCGGTTCCACAGAACAATCGCTCTTATTGAATGTATCGGTGATGAATCGTGGTGAAGATTCTTATGAATCACAGTTTTTCATCCTACTTCCACCTGGCTTTGAATACGGTGGCATTGAGAACTACAGCGCAAAGGTTATTATTTGATTTGCACGGATCAACTGGTATTTTAATAATGTAATTGTATTTAAGCAACCATTAAGCTGTTCACCACAAACCAAGGATACTAAGCAGTCAGCAAAAGAAGAAGAAGAATACAAATTTGTATGTGATATCGGCAATCCACTGCCATCGAACGCACACATTGAATTCGGATTTCGATTATCAGCGACTGGTATTGATACGAGTAAGGAAGAGATCGTGGTGAAGATGTTTGTGAATAGGTAAGTGAATAGCTTTTGTTATTAGCACTCGATTCTAATGAATGCACGCTGATGCAGTACGAACGCGGAGAATGAAGAAACTCGCACCGATAATGCCCTTACGCTGCACATCCCACTCGAAATGAAGGCACAGTTATCGTTGGTCGGCAGATCAACACCCGAACAACTGGATTACTCTATCAGAAATACACTCCCCATTTCGAAGGCTCTTTTCGACTCCGACATCGGACCTGTTGTTAGTCATCTTTATCAGGTGAGGCAAGCTCTTCGTTATTCTCACTGTGCGTAAAAGCACCTCATAAAATTACAGTAATTTATATATGAAGGTAATCAATCGCGGTCCGAGTGCAATAAGCAGCGCAACACTCGATATAATATGGCCAAGTTTCGCAGGCAATGGTCAGCATCTATTGTATCTAATCGATAACGTACAAGTGAATGATGCATCTAAAGTGAAATGTCGCGTCAGGCAAAATCGGAATGTTAATCCGGAGAGTTTAACGGTAATTCTTAGTTTGTTGTGTTCGATTATCCGTCACTGATCAGTATTCTATCTTTATCCACGTGACATCTCTACACTACATCCCCATTATTTCGTCTCAGGCAAAAATTAGTACATAACTTATCCTCTTGCTAATAAGTACTCATTTTATATATTCTATAAATATAGATATCGAATGAACACATTCCAACACCATCAGCGATAATTTTCGACGAAAGTTATGATGAAAATGGTGATGAACACGTTCATGATCAATACGAAGATCTGAAGAGACGTCGTCATAAACGTGATGCTTCCCCTCAAAATGAACACGATTACGACAAAACTCGAATGGCGGTCACGTCCAAGAATGAGATGAAGAATGCAGTAAGACTCGCGAAAGCATCTTCATCTGCCATCGAATACAAAGGATATTTGAGTCGTGCCACTTTGGTTGGTTATTACTCTTAATTTATCAGCATTCATCTCGTCTACAGTTCAACGAGACACTCTCAAGCGCCAAACGAATATTTCAGGATTGCAATTACAATAATTGTACGCATATCGAATGTGACATCGGTTATCTGCACGAGGATGAGTTCATTTTGGTCGAGGTCTACTCACGTTTAGTGCTCAACACACTTGTCACCAACAATATCCTCGAGGCTGACATCTCGTCTATTGGCATCGCAAAAATAACTTCTCTTTCCAATGCACCTTCGTCCAAATACAATCCTCCCGCACAACTCACTGCTGTTTGTCTCTTAATTATTATGCTTATTGTTATATGAGGGAAATGAACTCGATTTAATGCAGGTAACAACCGATGTGAATCCGACCGATCCAGAGCAATCGCAGCGCGGTGTTCCGTGGTGGTTATATTTACTGGCGATTCTAATTGGCTTGGTCATTCTCGCATTGCTTATTTTATGCTTATGGAGGGTTAGTGTGCACTTGTTGTTGTTGTTGAATAAGAGATGCAATACTAGTGAATACTAGCAAGTAATTCAATCCGGATTACAGTGTGGATTCTTCAAACGAAACCGTCCACCGACCGAACAAGCCACTTACAAGAAAGGTTTAAAGGGCACCGATGATATGTATGCAGACAGCAAAGTGCGTTACGCACATCCCTACATGTACTCGGAACAACGGCACGGTGTTAAAGTCTAGTCATCTGCGGTTCGCATCTAACATTGATCATCGCGTTATCTTATCATTATCTTATCTCATTGAAACTCATCTCAACGAAAGTAACCGATAATCAGTGCAGCTACTAAATTGTGTATATCTGACAACGATATCGATAGTTATTCTGTTTCATTCATCCATTCATTTATGAGTTATTTGATGGTGTTAACCCATTATTTTCATTGTTATTATATTCATCGGTTATTTTCTCAGTTTCGACGTGCCTTTTAACAACGCAACTGAATTTCATTTCGTTGTTTGTGTTATTTAAACATATTTTGTTGGTCAGTAATAGGTGCATAATTGTTTCATTTGCTTTATTTGCATAATTTCATAATTTGCATAATTTCAAAAAGCAAATGAATAGTAAATCATTTGATTTACTATTCATTTGCTTTTTTGTCAATTATTGATTTTCATTTCATATACATTTAACAAATAAAAAACAATATCTGTTTCTAACTTAACAATGCACGAGTAATGTTTCATGACAGAGACCGATAAACATTAATACTCATCTAATATTAATAGTCATATGCTATCTATAGTCAATTAGTAATATAGCATTCAGAATAACAACAGTGGTGGTGATAATAATAATAATAATGACGATATAAAACATATCGACAAATAATGTAACAGATTAAAACAAGTGATAATGGTAGTAAAAGTGGATTATAATAAATTCGAATAAGAAATGCAAAAGGAAATTGATATGAAACAAAGAGAATTTGGATGTTTGCTATTAACGAAACAATAATAGAATATTAATAGTGCAACGAGAAGAACAACCAACAGAATGAAACATATCAATGCGATGGTGAACTGTTGAAAGTATAACATTTGATCGTACGAGAACGATGGTCTTCTGTCGATCTCGTTATCACTGTTACTGATGTTATCAGCACCGTTCTTACTCTTAATATTATCATCGTTTTCGTGGTTTAAGACAAATTGTACTCGCTGAACAGAACGAACTGTTGGTGATTCTGAATGAATTGAATTCACTTCGTCATCCAGTGACTTACTTCTACTGCATAATTAACTATTTATCACCAAACACTTCACCAGTAAATGTTGATTATAGATGAGTGTGCGTTGTGATGTGCATTTTAGAGTAACCAATAAGGCAATAGTAAATAAACATAACTGACCAAAGCAGTGCGCAGATAGTACAGTAACACCGTAAGATGTTTTCGCGTTAACACATCCATCATCATTTACAACATTAGTAGTGCGCAACCAATATTGTCACCAATATTATTATCACTACTCACTTTTATATTCATTATCATCTATAATGATAATTATTATTCTGCATTATATTTTGATTCACACTGATCCTCGATCTTCCTCTTTTCGTTACGCATCCAATTCGATTCAGTTCCAAATACTTCAATATCCCTGTTGCAGCTGATGATGGCGTTCTAACGTTTTACGGTGTTACCGTATTATGTGCGCATTATTTTAGTCATTTATTACTAAGTTATCATTTCACTTTATCAAATTATACGTATCTACATCTAGAGTATTTATGACTGGAACGAATACCTTTGATATTATATGTGACGTTACGAGACCGCATCGGATACTGAAAATAGACAGTGATGTTGTTTTGTTGCAATTCGAACAGTTGCTTTGCCAGAACCGAATACCAGAATATTAACGGCTTATCCTCATCAAATATCTGTCGGTCGAATTGAACGATTGGATTTTCATTGTCATCATAATAATATTGCTGAAAATTCTCTGGAATCAAAATTATTTCCATTCAGTTTTCATAAATACTCTCATCTAATAAAGTAACTTAAGCTCAGTGATCACTACATTGAATGAAATTAGTGAATAACATCGTCGGATGCGTAGTCGATCGAAGGCATTGGAATGCGGTATCTGACGAAACACAAATTTTCATCGATAATTTGCACTTTCGATAAACGACCATAATCCATGCAGTCTATCAGATCCTTCAATTTTTTTGATTTTATTTATCTCATTCATCACATCGGATGTAAACATTTAAATTTATGCGAATATAAATATGCATACGTAAATATTTATATATCCACACATATATGCACAGATTGTTGGATGTGCGGAGAGAAGGATGTCAAGGAAGGATGGGTGTGGTATTGATGATAACAAAGAGACAATGAATTGCGATTGATGATTAAACGAATGAGTAAACTAGGGTGAAGCAAAGAACCCAATTTTTGAAATACCGGCCGACTCTGTCACCAGTAAGTGGCAGTAATCAGAGTAAGATACGGCGATAGATTACATTCGGGTTCACAAGGCTCATACTGGTAGACCATTCATTGTTTAACAGATGTTTGAACCCCGGTGCGAAAGAATAATCCACTCTTTTAATAGATATCTATTTACTTAATACAGGCTGCAATCGCGACTGATTAGGTCTGCCGCAACTCGGTTCCTCAGCAGACCTCAAGTTCCTTTTTTACATCACATTTTCACTCGTTGACTGATACCAATATGAATAATGGTAATACCAATGACAACAATCGTAATATGGATGATGATTATTAAAGATGGCATCTCAGCGAAATTTCCTGTCGGTCGGAATCCAACCGAGTTGACTTCTCCATATTCCGACAGTCGGAATTCCTTAAGACCTTTCAAACTGCTTGGCTGGAATCCGACCGACGAAAATCCGATCGAAATTGTTGAATTTTTGCGATCGATCTGATGCCATCACTAATGATAATGACAATAATAATATTAAAATACCTTGACCGCATAAATCGCGTTCAAAGTCAAATTGCTAAAATGAACATCTTGGTTGCTTTCACTCTCCCAAAATCGCCCAATTTCAATGGAAATAGAATTTTGATCAGCTGTACTCATCAGAGGCATATCTAGCCATTGACTCGCTGTAACCACTTACCATTAGAACACATTAATGCAATTGAAGTGAATGACAAATTCAAGTAAATGCTAAATGAATAAATAAACGAATGAAGATTGATTTACTAACCACAGAAAATGCGTTAAAATATCAACTTAAAACGCATTTATCAGTGATATCTTTACTCGTTTTAACGTTTTGATGATGGCTTTTTGCAGTAATATCGTCATTTATTTTTTGCGCATTGTAAGAGTCAATGAATCATTATTTATTTAATACTCAATAAATTTTTCATCATCACCACTATCACCCTCAATCGTCACATACATTTATCACCCACAACTCGAACATTTCTGCATACAGCAAGATGCTCTCCTTTGCTCGCCTGGTGTGCTTTTCACCAAATCGCACGCCGTTGAATTAATCGCTGAATTAATCCAAGATACGCAATATTAGGCCGTGAAATGAGGGTGGGCCTGGTAAAAACATTCCCTGGCGAAAACAATTTTTGGAATACGACAGATTCTATTTCAAGTAAGTGGCAGTAATGAGAGTAAGGTACGGCGATGGATTGGGACGTGCTTCACTCAATGCGCGATAATCTTTAGTTGCTTGTTCGATAAGCATCATCCAAAGACCTAATTCCCTACTTTTGTAATCGTAACACAAAGCCGAAGTTCCACATCAGAGTGCGTATGCAATGATGAGCACGTTTCGCGATTGTTCGCCAGACAACAATAAATCAACGCTGTACACACTTGAAATGAACACTTGTAATGAAAGAAGATATTGAATACGTATGTATCAAACTAAAAACTTACAAGGTATGTAACAGATTGAAACTGTTGAATCACTGTTAGTGTTATGATCATTTAGAAGGGAGCGAGGGATGCATGATTCTGAGATTGACCTGGTGCATGCGTATCTGCTCTTATCTCTTATTAAACAAAATCTGGAATGTGGAGATAATACAGACAATATTTTAGTAGCAGCATGTCGCATCACAGGTTCAGATATAATTACAAAGCTATAATACCGGTCGATATCACGACGACATTCTGAGCAATCCTTGTATGTTACGTGTGAAAGTGAATTGAGCTCATCTGAAGAACAAGTGAAATTCATGCACGGAAGATGTTGTGTGTTTAAGAGTTGGATGCTGAAAATATTAATTCAATTCAGTGAAGTGAATTGAAATTATACGATTTGATGTGAATCATAATTTGGTATACTCTTAGAATATGAACAGCTCTATAATGAATGAGAAGAAACTCTCAGATGTGAATTGTTAATTAACATTTATTGAAGGTGTTCAATGAATTGTGATCAGAATTTACGTTAGAAATCAGCACGGTGAACGAATTCAAAAAAATGAACAAAATGAAATAAGTGACCTTATACATACCTAATAAGGATGAGTAAAGTAAGGCAATTAGTGCTCATTGTTATTGTATAATATTGCAAATTAATTCCATAACACTGAAATGAAGTGAACAAGTTTAATCACTTATTTTATTGATTGAATTGTATTAGTCAACGATTCATTGCACTGAGAACTTCAATTTACAACATGTTTCATCTCTTGCAGTGACCACGTTTAGCACTATTCCACTTTGGTTTATACAAAACGAGAATTGTTTATTACTTTTTCATGTAATGGACATACTCTTCATGTAAAATTCATCAAACTTTCAGAAGGCATCATCCACCAACAAACTCATTCTTCCCATCTCACAACGCACTTCAATCTGTCGAATTGCATCAGAACTTAACAATTTTACGTGACTCATTTTTCACACGCTCGATACCTCCAGCACATGTGCTTCACATCGTTTTGAGTGAATTAAACCAAACTCATCCGCATTTCAGTGATAAATATGCAACAACATTCATAAATAACCACGGTTTATTGGCAAATAAACAGATCAATAAATTGACAAAACATTGCTGATTGTATACATTTTGACACAATACGCTAAGGTTCGTGAAAACCAGATATAAGAACTGAAATATTATACAACAATCAATCACATAACAACACACAGCACTGATTGGCATTTCGATTGTTAAATAACAGTTACAGAAACAAATGAATAACATAGATTGGTTTTTGTTGCATTGAAAAATTTCACTGTTAAGCGAGAGTAACGATAAATTGACGGATAGAATAAAAGAACGAAAGAAAATCAAGAATAAGATTTGAGTTTTTCAGCACGAAAATGATAGAACGACATTGCAGTACGTGATATATTCCAGCCGGCGGTGATTGTTGCAATATAGAAAATGAATATGAACGTGATTGGATAGAGAAATATATGCGTATTTTTGAGGATTGGGAGTGCTGCAAACAGTGAAATGCTTACATTGTTGTGGCTTTGGTTATCAATATCAATATGAATGAATGATATGAAAGTGAATATGAATGAAAATAACGTACCAGTANGATTGGATAGAGAAATATATGCGTATTTTTGAGGATTGGGAGTGCTGCAAACAGTGAAATGCTTACATTGTTGTGGCTTTGATTATCAATATCAGTATGAATGAATGAATTGAAAGTGAATATGAATGAAAATAACGCACCAGTATAACCGAGAAAGGTGATATAAATGTAATAAACGACTGCTAAAAACCAGATCGAGTTACCAAAGAAACGAGGGAGCATTGCGTCGTAATCGATCAAATCTAAACTGATCAAGACTTGTTTCAGAATATGTTAAATATTGCAAGCAAATGAAGAAAGCAAAACGAACGCGAATATGTGATCGGCATAATGACATGAAGGAAAATGAGCATCGGAAAGAATGCGTTCAAATGGACATCGAAACAATAAGCCCATTCCACATCTTGGTCGTTCACTCGACGTAAGTATCGATTCGATATCAACCTTATCATTACCACAATGATTAATTCACAATCAAAACAAAATGCTAAACACCTAAGTTTGAGGAGTATATCCTCACAATAACTATGGCTTTGTAATTGTAAGTAGAAAAGCTAGTGCTGAGTATACATTTGAACGTCGTATTTCGGCCACTAAATCAGATCTGGATCTCAATCAAATTCTGTCCTCAGATATCCAAAGACTTCAAAACAGAATGAATAATGAAGTTACGAAGCATAATTAATCGAACACAATACCAAAACCTTACCACAAAACTGTAGCAATAACAAGCCCAGCAGCGATACAATCCACGAAAACAACCCATAAAATGAACTTAATGAAACCACCGAATGATAATCCGATCACCAATGCAAATATTACACTCGATATTGTCAATGCAATTGCCAGTAACACCAAAAATGCTGGGTCATCCCTTGCCCACTGGTCTTTCGTTTCTAAAACAGATAAGACTGTTTAATAAAATGAAATGTCTAAGATAGTTCAATATGGTGAATGTGAATAATTGAAGTAAATCACTAACTTTTACGATACATAAAATTTCGGTAAACCTTTTGCGGTTGTACAAGTAGAAATATCATTTGCCATAAAGCAAACTCGAAGTCCATTTGTTTGAATCGAATCAAACGTCGAAAATAACGACTCAATTTCGCTGATGCACTCATTCGAACCGCTGTCAAACAACCAATTCGGTCTGCCGATCTAAATTAGCGCATTAATCTGTGCTTTAGAAACAATGAAGCAGAAAGAACTAACATATAACTGGATGACTGGAAAGGAACACCAGGGAAATTGGAAGACGGATAACGACTGTCTGATGATCCAAATCCTCGATAATAAGAAGGTTGATCACCACTGAACCGAGACTGTGATGGATGATCTTTAGCGGTAGAAATATTGCGTGATGCGAATGAGGATGATTCCGGTGGTGTTGTGTTAAGCGGGGCTGGACGGTTACGAGAATATGAATCAGCTGCTATCGAATTTTTATGTGCGTCTTTCATCGAGGTAAATCACCTGCAATTGTTAATACGCATTTAATTGATCAACTCTTGATTAAAAGTTCAATTAGATAAAATACTAACAGTTACTTGGAAAATGTGAACAGAATTCAGAGATGATTTGGACGGAATCTAAATCTTTAGCAATACGATTTGACTGGATATGGCCTTTCATCGACACTGTATGTACTCCAACTCAAAGCTTAATCTCCGTT